TTTCTAAAATAGGCTATTTTATGAGATAAAATAACTTGGATGCTACCACTTTCGGAGGTTGTCAACCAGAAACACCATTGTACTTGATGCAGAGGTTATGATGTGCTCACTAACACTGAAGTGAGGGGAATGTACCATCTTATTTTTCTAACTTCAAGGCAGGCTTTCCATGGATAGGAAAGCATTCATCATTTTGAAACCTTCCCCTCTGCTTCAGACTAAAGAATAACCTTGAAACAAAGTAGATCCAAGAAAACAGCAGAGGAGTCTAGACTTTTAGTCCCCTCCACCCATTATTAATGCCTTTTCTGCTATACAGTAGAGTTGTCGAGTGTTCCTCTGAGTGGCCTCAAAAGTGCCTCTAGGATACCCTCTCCCTGACAGACAAACTCAGCCTCCAGGACTCCCTCTCAGACTCCTGAGGCCACATCATTTATTGTCCAGGTTCCCAAGCCCCTGCCCAGCCTTCTATCCCTGTAGGATTCTTAATAGCTCTAGCCAACACCTCTGGGTTTCTGCCTTGCCCAGGGCTTCCTCTCAGTCTCCATGGAGGGGACATCAGGGCTGCACAAACAGCATGTTCCTTTGCTCAGCAGTTACTCTCACTTTGGTCCAAACTTGAGATCATAAGATCCTGGCGACTCTTACCCAAAGAAGAGAAAATTACCATTTCTTTCTTTCTTTTTTTTTTTAAAGACAAATTGTTCCGTCTTCCAGCCTTGTTTGAGAGAATGGTTTATTTTTGCATTTTGAGGTTTGATCTATTTTTTGCAAAGGAGATTTCCATTGAAAGAACACTGTTCACCTGTTTTTCTTATAAGCAAACACACATCTTCTCTTTCTCTTTTCACCCAACAGTGGTTATGTGGAGTCCATGAATGCTGATGATGTCGACAATCCCTTCGGAGACCTGACATCTCTAGCCAAGCCTCGGAGCTCTAAACCCCTGTATACGGACACGAGTCGGTGAGTTACATTCGTAAATATTTCCTTTAGAATGAAATATGATGATTGACTTTACTATAAATGAAGGTATAAAAAATGTTCTGTTACAGAACAGAATTTAAGAAGAAAGATTCCTGTTTCGTGAAAGAAGTGTAGTTTGTCACAAAGGAGATTACAGTTTCTGAGACTGACTTACCTGGGGGCCATGGGCAAGTCACTTCACCTTGGTGACCTCAGTTTCTTCATCTGAAACCTGTGGAGGAAAATGCCACCAAGCAAGGTGACAGTGAGGGGAAGCAATAATGTTTGTAAAGCACCTGAGACATGGCTGACCGATAACTGATAGTTGTTAGAGTTGGTGGAACTTGGCTTTTTATCAAAAACAAGATATGTGAGTTTTTCAGAGCTAGGGTCTTGCTTTCCAGAACACTGTCCTGCTGAGTTGGCATGCATGGTCCGATAGCCCTGGGAGGTGTTTGTTGCCAGAGGCAACAGATGAGATGAGATGGGCACTAGTCACCTACGGTTGAGAAAGGACTTCCTAAGTGCCACCATTTGATATTGGGGATTCATCACAACCTTCTTTATAACTTCAGTTTTGCCTAGGATTTCATAAGACAGACTCACACTTGAACTCCTGTGTCCTCTTCGTTATTCCACTGAGCAGAGCAATATTATGGACATTACCAGCAGTTTCTAGAATGATTGACAAACCTTGCAGAAGATTTCATGCAACATAATAGCGTAAATCCTGATAAGCTTTTAAATGTTAACTAATTTCTATGTTTTAAAACATCAGTTGTGCCCATGAGCCAAAGTAGTTAAAATTTCACAATAATTGCCCTTCTACTGACATATTCTATTATTTGTTAAGTGCAATAATATATCCTACACAATTTTGAATTTTTCTATGTTATCTTATTTATTACAACTATCTAATTCTTTTTATTATTTGGCCAAACTATAAAATATGTTTCAAAAGTAAATTTCATTTTTTTTCGATGTTTTATTTTATTTTTTATTGTGCTTCAGGTGAACATTTACAGCTCAAGTTAATTTCTCATACAAAAATTTATCCACATATTGTTATGTGACATTAGTTGCAATCCCTACAATGTGACAGCACACTCCCCCTTTCTACCTCGGGTTTCTTGTGTCCATTCAACCAGCTCCTATCCCTTGCTGCTTTCCTCTGCCTCCAGACAGAAGCCGCCCATTTGGTCTTGTGTATCTGATTGAACTAAGAAGCTCACTCCTCACAAGTATTATTTTTTGTTTTATAGTCCTGTCTAATTTTTGTCTGAAGAGTAGGCTTTGGGAATGGTTTTAGTTCTGGGTTAACAGAGTATCTGAGAGCCATAGTTTTGGGGGTTCCTCCACTCTTTGTCAGACCATTAAGTCTGGTCTTTTTACGTGGATTTGAGCTCGGCTCTGTACTTTTCTCCTGCTCCCTCCGAAACTCTCTGTTGTGTTCCCTGTCAGGTCGGTCATTGGTAGTAGCCAGGCACCAGCTAGTTCTTCTGGTCTCCGGCTGATGGAGTCTCTGGTTTATGTGGCCCTTTTGTCTCTTGGGCTAATACTTTCCTTGTGTCTTTGGTGTTCTTCAGTCTCCTTTGCTCCAAGTGGGTTGGTACGGCAATGGGTATAGTAAGTCTAAAAGAATTAAAGGAAGGATATGGGAATAAAACCAATTTTAAAATACTCTACAGGCATGATAGTTTAATATTTCTCCTTGGAAAAGTATATTTGAGCTTTGAAATGTTTTATGAAATATTCTTGCTAAAGAAAGTGTACTCTTTTGGGTCATTCTTCAATGAGTAAAGTGCAGTCTGGCAGAATGTTTAAAATTTGATGTAAAAATATAATTTAGCTTGAATAAATTTGGGAGTATGCCATTCTAGCTTATCTTGCTGTTAATTTCTGTTTTTAAAAAATGTGAAATTGTGAGTGAATAATGGAAAAGAATTGAAGACCTTAACTGTTCTTGTTCAATTTGGGCACTAGAGGGCCTCCAAGGTTGCAAAGTTTCTTTCTATTAGTTTTCAGTTTTAACAGAATCTTAACATTTAATGTGAAGAAATAGTTTTCCATTTTTATTGTGAAATATTGAGAGATACAAGAATATATAGCATTATAGTAATAGATAGAGGAAAATAATAAATAAATGTGTGTGTTCACCCCTGCCTAGCTTAAGAAACAGAATCTCACCTGTATCTTTTAAACTGCCTGTGTGTCTATCCCAATCTCATGGCGCTGGCCACCCCCTCCCCAACCCAGGAGAACTCATCCTCAGACTTTAGGCTTATCATTCACTTGCTTCGCTTTATAGTTTTACAACATATATATGAATCTCTAAACAATATGTCAAATAGTTTGCCCAGTGCCACGTTGAGCTAAAAAAAACAAGGTACAGAAACAATAGATATATGTCCGTTGTATAAACTTCAAAAGCCAGAGATATAAACATAGTGATTTTGTGCCCAGCAAGAAATTGAGCACCATCCTCTTCAGAAGCTAGTATGACTCTTCATTATTTTCTTGTTGTAAACTTTTAAAGAAATATTTTTATGATATTATCTTTAGAGTTTTCCTCATGATTGATGTTACTTAATCATGGTGGCCAAGACAGGCCATATCCCCACCCCTTGAATGGAAGTAATATTTCAGATGAGTGTGGGCTGAAGTCACTGACTGTTGAGTTGAAGTGATTCCAATTATTGGAATAACCAATTTCCTTAGTGAATGAAAATATCTTCAAATTTTCCTAACTAATTAATTTTGTTTTTCTGGTCACCAATTCATCTGATATGTCCAATGGTTTTTTATATTGATGGTTATTGTACTATTATTTTAAAAATAGCTTGTTATTTTTATTGTTGGATTGAATCTAATTATAGAAAAAAGTACAGAAAAATCAATAACTGTAAAAAATAATCATACTTCACACATAAAAAACATGTTATTATTAATATTTGGAATATTTCTATCTGCCATATGCATTGTTTTAGTCTTGCTTTTGTGTATTTGTATAACTATGATCATACTGCACATAGAATTTTTACCACTACAACACTACAACATAATCGTGGGAACATGTTATTATGAACTCATCATATTTTTTATTTGTGTAGGTGTACTATAATTAACTAGCTTACTCAGATTATATATGTAAATTGTTTCTACTTTTTGCTATGATAAATAAGGCTCTCAAACACTTTTTACATGAATCTTTTTCACGACTTGGAGAGTCCCAGAAATGGACTATAGCATCCAAATACATAAGCATTCTTAACCATGTTGCCGAATTATTTTCTGAAAGTATTATGTAATTTAGAGTGGAACTAGTGTTTATGCCTAGGGTTTCTGATGACCTTCAATGCTAGCACTAAAGCTCACTAAACATCTCTTTCTTTTTTCCAAATGTGGTCATCGAACAAATAATTCAAATATTTTTAAAGTGTAAAATGTTAAGGATCTCTTCCATTTTCAATCCTATTATTAAATATTGAGGTATTCTTTTTGACTTTTGCCCCATGCACCTGTGAATGTCTGCTTTGTATGATTATGTTTATATTATTATTGTGTGCATGCATGAGTTGTGTGTGCGCATGCGTGTGTGTGTTTGTGTGTGTGTGTGTGTGTGTGTGTGTGTGTGTGTGTGTGTGTGTGTGACTGAAATATGCACTGGATATTTTTTTCTGAACACTATGCAGGCCTACTAAAATCTTTTTAATGGCTGCTTGGTTTTCTATCACATAGCTATATAATAGTTTATATAGTCCTAGTCCTTACTAAAGTCTTTTTTTTTTTTTTCCTATTATAGACAATACAGCAGTAAACAACCTCTGCATATATGTTTGGTCAGTTATGCTGTATTTCTTATCTTTGGACAGTTATGTTGCATTTCTGTAGAATATATTCCTAAAAATGAAATGATTGCATGAGTTTTCTCATTAAAATTAAAAGTATCTTCAAATTTGATAGGCATGCCCAATTTTTAAATGGCATTTAGAGTTAAGGAACTCAAAATATTTAATGCTGCTCTCACTGCAGTTCCTACTTTCTAACTTGAGACTAATTTAGGAACTAGGAGAACCCAAAATTTCCATTGGGTTCAATAGCAGTTATAGAAGTTCGGGATGGTTAAACAGCTTTTTCCTTCCTTCAGCAAACATGTGCTGAACTGAGTTTACTGTATTGGAGTAAACTGTATTCAGAATACAATAATAATAATAATATTAATGAAACAAAGTTACCCTCACGTATAGACTATGTTGAGCAGGAAAGTTAAGGTAAAGTAAGTTAATTTAAGGTAAGCATCCCCATTTTTTTTCATATCTGATTTTTTTATCCTTCCCTTTAACACAAAAGTTATTTTCTTTGCAAGAGTTTAATGAACAAGGTTCAGCAGTTAATTTCTTTCAGTAATTATTTTACAGTTCCATGTAGTTTAAAGGGCTTTGCAGTCATTAGTCATCAGTATAAGGCACGTAGCTATTAAATTATATGTAACAGCAAATCTGTGAAAAGTCAGAATCAAAAGCATTTAATCCTTGTCTTCCTAAGAAAATGAAAAGTAGCTGCTGAAAGTGCTTTTTCTTTGGTCCTTGACTCTAGGATGTTGGAACTAACTGGGATCTTCTATATAAGCATCTCATCTAGTCTAGATCCTGTGCTTTACCTGTGAGGAAACAGAGACTGAGAGCAGTCTGCCCAGGGAGTGGAGACAAGTAAAGCAGAAGCTGGCAGAGAACCCTTCAGATCCCAAGCCTAGGACTTTTCCAGTCACCATTTCCTGCTTTTCTAAATGACACAGGTCCCTTCACTGCACTATCTTCTAAGTTAAAATCTTTTAATTTCAGGACCTCACATGGTTTCGTATTTATTGTGTTTTTACTTCAACGATTTCTGTGAGGAAGCATTTGTTAATAATGAGTAGTTTGTCCAAACGGTCCTTCAGGCAGCCCCTGGCTAAGGTCTGAGGTGGAAGGAGCGAGATGGCCTGTCAGTCACTGTGCTTT